CAATCGTGAGGGACCACCTTCCATCGAAGAGGTGAGAAGGGCGGTCTCTAAGCTGAAGAGCGGAAAGGCTGCTGGTGTCTGTGGGATTGCTGCGTAGCTGTTGAAGGAGGATGGAGAAGCCATGATCTGTGGTTTGCATGTAGTCCTGTCTGCCGTTTGGGAGACTGGTACTATCCCCCCTTGACAGGAAAAGGGGCTTGGTCATGCCTATCTGGAAAGGGAAAGGGGACCAGAAGGACTGTGGCAACTACAGAGGTATTACATTGCTCAGCGTACCAGGCAAGGTCCTCGCTCATCTGCTTTTGGCACGAGTGCGCGACCACTTAATACGAGCACAGAGATCTGAGCAGTCTGGTTTTACACCCAAGAAGTCAAATATAGACCGTGTCTAAGCACGTCGTGTCCTTGTGGAACGCCGACTTAAGTTTCAACAAGGTATGCTTGCAGCTTATGTTAATCTCAAGAAGGCTTTCGACTCAGTGCACCGGGAGAGTCTCTGGGGCCTACTGGGTCTCTGTGGGATCCCCCCTGGGATTATTGGTTTGCTGTCTGGCATGTAAGTCCGATATGCAAAGCTGAGCCTCGCCCGGGCTATGAGGGGAGCCCGGCCTGTGCCGACAAATGTCGACTCGCTAACAGTGTGTCAGCAGGTGCTGACTCGGATGAGCTTAGTCCTTACCCACCGTGGTGCCCAGCCACAGCAGTAACCTCCAGGCGACAATTGCAACTTCTCGCGCCTGGGCGGGGCGCGAACCGCCGACCCCTCAGATGAGAGGTCGACACGTTACCACTGTACTAGCCCGGAGGCTTGCCCGACCCAGCGTAGCTGAAACGAGCGGATCCGTGCCTCAACACTTGGAAGACCGGCGCGGGCGAGAACTTCAGCATTCGTGATGTGATCCTTCCAACTGATGCCCAGGAGCGATCGGAGCTTCCTCTAATGGAACACTTCAAGCCGCTTCAGATGTTTTGCGTAGCAGGTCCAGGCCTCGCATCCATACAGAAGTGTCGACAGAACCTTGGCTTGGTACACCTTGACTTTGGTTGGTCTTCTGATTCCGGCTGCACACACACATATATATACACATATATACATACATATATACATATATATATATATATATATATATATATATATATATATATATATATATATATATATATATTTGTATTTATATATTTGTCATTTATATGTAAAAACATGGGTATATACTTGGGTTACAAACATTTGCATTTACTTTCTATTCAAGTTAATGCATATAAAAGGAGTATGTAGTTCAAGAAAACTATTTTCCTCTTGTTTTATTTATTGATGATTAAACTTACAACTGTAACAAAAATGTATGATTTTAAGAGGAAAAAATCAATTACTACCAATAACTAAAAGCATACAAATTTAAGAAATTATAAAATAAGTGGCAACCTTAGAACTATAATCAAATAAATATTAGAAACTTGACAATAAACAATACACTACAAAACCTGCAATAAACAATACAAAACCTGCAATAAACAATACACTACAAAACCTGCAATAAACATTAAATTATAAATTCAACAATGACTTTATAATAATGAGCATAGAAAATGAACATAGAAAATTTCAATAATATAACTACAACAAATATAAAATAAAATTAATGTAGCTTTCTGCCTACATTTTTTCTAATGATCCAGAGCCATTCTCCTGCAGCAATATCTGGAACAAAAAAAGAACTTTCACAGGAAAATAATCAGTCAAGAAATTTTACTGTAAAGAGGGCACTTATTTTAATCATAAGAACAAGCAAATTTAGCATTTCTGAAACTTGTTTCACGGCACACTGTACTGGTTGCTGTTGAGTGTATATACAAGTATTATTATTATCTCATAGGAATATCAATATTCTTGAGATATGCAGATAACTAAATCTTTATCTGGTTTTATTTACAAATAATTAGACATCACATAACAACAAAAGGATACCAACAAAATCATGCACAAAAGATGAAAACTAATGTCATTTAATACTAACCTCTTGTTAGATATCGAAGTATTAATGCCAATCGATGGTCTGCAGAAATTGCCTTCCTCAGCTGAGTATTATGCAACTAGTAGCGATAAAAAACACCTCCATGTTCGAAATTTGTAAAACCCGCGACCGTCCTCCAGTTCCTTCACTAGGATAATTATGCCACTCAGGTCTTTTTTTCCATACCTTAACCCATGATCATTTTGGTATTCTCTCCTCATTCTTCACAAAGTTAAAAGCCACAGTACATAAAACTACGGCGAAATAAAGGAAACTATCTTTGTGCTCCGTGCTACCGCGTAGTCAATCCCTGGATATGTTTGGGCCGGCACGGAGGCTGTTTCCGCAGTTGAAAAACTACGTCTGTCAGGACGGACGGAAATGGGTCGGGTCCCACACGCGATGAAAGGCAATGGAAACACGCCTTTGTTTAATGCTGAGTTGATGCAGCCATTTCTTCGACCAATTTAGTCAGCTGATATACTTTAATGTTTAATTCTTTAAGGGTTTGTTTCAGTTCAGCAATTTCTTTATCCTTAGCTGCAAGCTGATGACTGAAGGTACTTGCACTAGGGGGGATGTTGGTTACTGCTGCAGCATAGGAAGTATCGGGTTTGTGCGTCAAACTTTCCCCTTCCCTCTTAGCTTCAGTATAACTAACTTCATGTTTTCTCATATATGCTAATGCTCAGTCTCCTTCTTCAGGGTGCTCCACTCTGCAGAGCCTGACTGATGGGGACCTCCACAGTTAGCACATTCGGAAATCTGACTATTACATGTGATGGTTTCATATTACATGTTATTTTCTATGAATTTCCCTTTGGAAACTGTGTATTACATGCATTATGCTTCCCGATCTCTTGTGTTAAGCACATGTTTTAAATTGTTGTAGCAATATGTTGAATTTAATGGAAATTAGATGTAATTATCTCGTCAACATTACATTTATATTCTATACCAGTATATTCCTTTAGTGTTTCTCGTTAATTGATATTGCACTGTACTGATAATGCATTTTTCCAGATTTAAATTGATTTTGTAAATTCAGCATAATTTCATTGATATATGTGTTAATAAGTTAGCTATGAGAATTCATGATCTTTTAGATTTGCCGTATTGATATATTGATAGTGATATATTGGAGCTAACGCTGACGGGGGCTCATGGTCGCATCCAACCTTTGCTAGCCAGCCACGAGGGTCCCTCATGGCGAGGTCTGGTCGAGCTGCCCAAGCCATGACCTCGTAGGTCGTCCCACGGGCCTCCTCCACCCAGGATTGTCTCGCAGAGAGACAACCTGATGGGCAGGGTCATCCTCAGGGAAACGAGCTAGGTGCCCACATAGCCTGAGTTATGCAAGTAACAGATTCCATGCCAGTCTCACGGTGTAGCCGTATGTTGGACACATGGCCGCGCCAACTGTACTCCATGATCCAGCAAAGAGACTCTATCAAGATGAGACTCCAAGGCACTAGATAGCATCCAGGTTTCACTTCTGTAGAACAAAACTGGTGGTATCAAGGCTTTGAAGACACGTAGCTTGATCCTTTTGCATAGGTACCGACAATGATCGAGTTTATAGATCCTGCTGCCAGGCCAATCTGTTAACTTACTTCTTGGTCTGACAGCCCAGAGATATGGACTATGCTATCAAGGTTGCAAAGCTCTC